CGTATCATGACACTATGCTGTGCTGTACGGCGTGCGGTGCTATGGCACATTCCAGCACGAAACGGGGGAATCTTCGGTTGAGGTGTCGTCCTGTCGCGTCGTGGGGACGGGGGTTCTACCTTGACCGATTTCGTGCTGGAAGGTATCCTGCCCATAGGAATCCTAGAGGGCTCACAATGGCGTACACGGGAGCCCCCTCTCCTGAGGTTCGCTCGGAGTGGAGGCCCTACTTTGAGGCCTGGTCCCAGGGCCGCGACCGCCCTCCGAGAGTTGCTCGGGGAGCTCAGCCCTTGCGCCGCGAGGGTCCCGCTGCCGACCGTGCGCGAGGCCTCGCCCTGCTCGGTCTGACGAGGGCGGAGGTCGTGGAGCTCGGGGCAGAGGTCGAGGCCAGGCGCTGGAGAGGTGAACTCCCCGTGGAGGAGGAGGATCTCTTCGGCTGCCTTGGCCCCTCCTAACTTGTTTGTTTTTGTTGCATGTGAATTGGGTCACTCCCTTCGTGGTCGTGGGCGTCCTCCTCCTCTTCCTCCCAACTCCTCCTCCCAATTCCTCCTCCTCCTCCTTCTCCTTCTCCTCCTCCTCCTCCTCCTCCTCCTCCTCTTCCTCCCAACTCCTCCTCCCAATTCCTCCTCCTCCTCCTTCTCCTTCTCCTCCTCCTCCTCCTCCTCCTCCTCCTCCTTCTCCTTCTCCTCCTCCTCCTCCTCCTCCTCCTCCTCCTCCTGTGGCGGCGGCTGTCTCGGGGGGGGGTCTGGTAGGCGGTGGTCGATCGGGGGCGGCAAAGAGGGGGGTGATGACTAGGGGGGGGGGGGATTTCATGACGCGGGCCATGATTTGTCCTCAGATCTCATGGCGCCGCTTCTCATTCCCTTGCGTCCCTGGTCCCCCCGCTGGGCCGCGCACACGCCGCCGGTCATGAGGTGCACCCCCCCCTCTTGGACACCCCCCTCTTGGCCGCTCCCGAGTCGAATGTCCATCAGTGCTCCTGAGACCAGGACGTTGCAAACCAGTACATTGAAGATGCTTATCGCTTCGCGCATCCCCACCGGCCTATTCAGGAGCGGTGCCGAGGGGAGTTGCCCTTTTCGGGGGAGCGCGGCATCACGTGGAGAGCTCGGGGAGCCCCCGTGGGCCAGAGGCTCCTTGGATGCTCCTCGGAGTCTTTTGGGATGTCTCGTGGAGGCCTCTTGTGGCCTCCTGGGGGCCTCCTAGAAACTCTCAGGGCCTCTTGGGGCGCCTTGGGCGCATCTTGGAGATCTGTCGGCACGTTTTGGGGGCGTCTTGGCGGTTTTCAGAGCCTCTTGGAACGTCTTGGGTGCCCCTTGGGTGCCTCTTGGTGCCTATTGGGGGCCTGTTGGGGGCTTCTCGGGAGCCTCTTGGGCGTTTCTTGGGGCACTCCAGGGGCTCTCTTGGGAGCGTTTCGGGCCGTCTTGGGGTCATCGTACCGGCGATCGATCAACGAAGGAGGTTCCTGAATTAGCGCCCCCCCTTGAGGCCAAAACGGGCCCAACACCTAAGGAAATCCATGTTTGTTGCCTTCTCGCTGACGCCATTTTGGACGCTCCAACGACCTGCGGCCCCCCTCTTCTCGACCCAGGGGAGGGAGGGGTAGGGGAGGGGTCAAGACTCCCGTTCCGCCCGCAAGCCGTCTCGCTCACTCCCACCCGCTCTCCCAACACATACGTAGCACCCGAGCCTGGCCCGAGCCGCAGCATATTCAGCAGTCGCCTTTGGATGGGCAGCTACTGGGGGCGACTCCGCCGCCGCCGCCGCCGCCGCCACCCGCCGCCGCCGCCGTAGCCCCCGCTGCCGAGTCGCCGCAGCCGCTGCCGCCGCAGCCGCTGCCGCCACCGCTGCCGCCGCCGCCGCCGCCGCAGCCGCTGCCCCCGCCGCAGCCGCCGCAGCCGCCGCCGCCGCCGCCAAGTGTACTCTGTATTGTTTTTGACATGGATGGTGGGGGAGGCCGCATCGGGTTCGCTGCGCATGCTCCGAAATTGGAGGCAGAGTGTGTGTTTTTTGTTTGTATTGTTTTTTACAAGGGATGGTGGGGGGGGTGCCCGCATTGTCCCTGGTTGGCTCCCAGTCGCCTGGGGGAGGGAGTGTATATTGATAGGGAACACTGATCAAGCTACCCTCCGCGATAGCAGGCTGCCTAGCTCACTCCCGCCCGCCCTCCATACACATAAGTAACACCCGAGTGTCAGCAGATCGCTTAGGAACGCCACACATGCCATGCGCGCCACGGGTTCCAGGTGCACCTGGCATATTGGAGGCCTAAGCGTGCCAGGTGCGGCACATGCTCCACGTGCGCCAAGTGTCTCACGTTCCCCAGCCGCGCCGGGTGCGCCAGCTACGGGGAAGCAAAAGGGACCCCAAGAGCCTGGGGCCCTGGCCCCAAGGAGTTCAGGATCTTGAACCCTCCTGAAGCGAATTGCCGAGCATTATGTGAGAAGGGCGGGTCTTCCAAGGAGCGCACAGCACCGGCACCGAAGGACAATTTGTGACATCTTGAGGAGTCGTGAAACAGATGCGAGTTCAGAAGCCCTGCGCATGATCCAGATTTGTATTGTCTTTGATAGGGATGGTCGGCCTGCGCGCAGCAAGCAATATACCAGCACCCCCGACGTCCCTATCAAAAGCCCATGTAAAGTGGTCGCGGGGCGCCCGCGCATGCGCAAGATTTGGAGGCAAAGTTCAGTTGCAGTGTTTTTAACAAGGGATGATGGGTGGGGGGGCTCATTGGTCCCGGTTGGCTGGTGGTCGCTTGGGGGAGGGGGTGTTTAGCCATAGGGAGTACTGATCAAGCTCCCAGCCGTATCGACGCAAGCTGTCTCGCTCACTCCCATTCGCACTCCCATTACATAAGTAGCACCCTGGTCACAGCATAGGCAAGGGCCGTCATCGGGAACCAATGCAGACGCCAGCCATGTGCGCGAGGGCACCCCCGCCGCCCATGGTCAAACACAGATTGCAAAGTGATCGCGAGGCGCCCGCACATGATCCGTCTGGTGGTGCAAAGTGTATTTTGCACTGGTTCAGTGGCCATTGGTGGTGGAGGGGCGCCGGCGTTGCACAGCAGGCAACAGGAGCCTGGCATCGCTCGGACGTGTGCATTTTTCCTTCGGCGAGGACCTTCGAGGAGCATCCTCGACCATCTGGCGAAAAAAACACGCACGAAACCGACAAAAAAACAGGAAATTGACGTCCGAGCGATGCCCAGTGTACAGCAGGCAACACGAGGGCACCCCTGCCGTCCCTGTCAGAGACCTGTTCACAGTGGCCACGGGGCGCCCGCGCACGGCCCAGATGCCGCAGCAATGCTCAACGCGCCTTGGTGTCTCAACAGGGATGGCAGAGGGGTGCTGTCATTGGCCCGTGCTTGTCGCGGGTGCCTGTCTCCCCAATGAGAGCTTGGCGTAGCCCGCCCAGCTTCTAGCGGAAGAGGTTCGCTCTCGCCCCGCCGACCAAAAGGTTTGTCGCGGGTGAGGGAGTGCAATTTAGTTAGGAGCACTGACGAATGTCTCTCCGAAGCAGAAGAATGGGGATGGAACAGGAAGCGCTCTGACTCACCTACAGTGGAGACCCATGCCAAGAAACACCCTGCTTGCCTCCAGGGTGCCCTGGGTTTCTTGGGATTCGATGGCTTTGCTGTGGAAGGCGTGACGTTCCCAAACCAAAAATCAATGGACGTCCTGGGGTCTCGGGGTTGGGTTTCTTGTGGAAGGTTTATTTTGGTCGAGCCCCCACTGTACACCGTGAAGGGCTGGTGGGATTCACTTGGAGAGAGCGAAGACTTGAGCACATGTCGACCCACGGCCGCAGTTTTCTCGGGCGCGCCAGTGTCCTGGCTTGTCTGTGAAAGTGCCCGTTGGCGGGGCCCTGCGTCCAGGGCGGGTTCCTGGGTCCTTGGTCTTCGTCGTGTTCGTGGACACCGACGCTCTCCCTCCCTGCCAGCCGTGTTTCTTCCCTCTGTCCCCTCCAGCCTGCCCGCCTGCCTACCGGAGGGAAAGGACGGGGAGGAGGAGGAGGAGGAAGGGGAAGGACGGGGAGGAAGAGGAGGGGGAGGAGGAGGAGGAGGAAGAGGAGGAGGAGGAGGAGGAGGAGGAGGAGGAGGAGGGAGGTGGAGGAGGAGGAGGAGGAGGTTCGTGGGCGCGGCTGTGGTCGGCTCCTCGCAGCAGTCAGCCCAGGGTCCTCCAGATTTGGGTGCGGTTTCTGGATCTGGGAGGTTGAATTCAGCATCGGCGCTGGTACGCTTATGGTCGGCAACTTATTGTAAAGGCCTCCGGCCGGTGCCGCCGATCCAGGACGATCCCGCTGTCAGAAGGACGCTTTCGCCCCAGCGCGCTGGTTCAAACATAAGTGGTTTGGAAACAGCTTGGAGGCATTGCGTGGGCTTCTTGAGGGGCCTCTACGACGCATCTTCGAGGCCTCCTGGGGCGGCGTCTTGGAGGTGCCTTTTGGGTTCCTTGGGGGGCATGCGGGAGGCATCCTGGAGGCCTCCTGGGGGTGTGTAGGAGGTAATGTTTAAGCCTTCGGGAGCGCTTTTGGGCGCCTTTGGGGGGCCTCTCGAGGGCCACTTGGAGCCTCTCGGGGTTTCTTGGGGACTCCAAGGGCCAATTCGGTGCCTCCTGGGCGCCACTTGGGCCGTCTTTCTTGGGGCCTTCTGGGGCCGTCATGGAGCCTTCTTGGGCGCTCCTTGGGCCCGTCCTGGGCCCGCTTGGGCTGTCTTGGGGGCCTCCCAGGCCGTTTTGGGCCCTTCTTGGGCCGACTTGGGACTCTTTTGAGAGCCTCTGGGCCTGTTTTGGGGGTCTCTTGGGCCGTGTTTGACACTGCGCAGGCCGAAGAAACTTTGATCCCGCTTGATCCCGCCTGCTCAATTCTGGGCTCAATCCAGCGTAGTTCGGCCCAGTGAGTGGCTTTTTGATCGAGTTTGCTATCCCTAACCGTTCTTACGAGGACCTCCCAGGGAGTTCAGCAAACCGGTGGCCGCTCCGCGCTCCCCCTAGGACGAAGCGGACAGAGCGCCGTCGCGGTCATTTAGACGCCACGTCCTGGCGGCGTTGACGCTTCGCAGATATGGTTTTATGCTGTGCCGCGTGGAGCCCTTGAGGAGGGCATACCGCCTCGCGCCGGCGTTTCGCGCGTTTGCGTTTTTGCTTCGAGATGTGTTGTTTTGTAGGGGCGCGTGCAAAGGGCAGGTGGTCCACGAGGGAGAGAGAGAGAGGGAGAGAGGGGAATGTATGGAGAGAGGGAGGGAGGGAAAGGGAGGGAGAGAGGGAGGCAGGAAGGGAAGAGGAGGAGGGAGAGCTGGAGGAAGATGAGTATGATGATGGTGATGATGATGATGATGATGATGATGATGATGATGATGATGATGATGATGATGATGATGATGATGATGATGATGATGTGATGATGATGATGGATGATGTGGTGATGTGATGATGGTGATGGTGATGGTGATGGTGATGGTGATGGTGATGATGATGATGATGATGATGATGATGATGATGATGATGATGATGATGATGATGATGATGATGATGATGATGATGATGATGATGATGATGATGATGATGATGATGATGATGATGATGATGATGATTATTGAAAGTGTCCCACATTATCAACATGTGAATCGTAGTCCTCTGCAGTTTTTTCTGACTTGTGATGGGGGGCCCAACGCGCTCGGCGCCTCCGTCGCCGCGATCGCGGCGTTCGCCGGCGGCCTCAGTGGCGGCTGGTGGGCCGCGCCCGAGGCGTCGGTGCCTGAGGACTGCGGGCACGTCCTCGAGTGCCCGGCCTGCGCCTGCCTGGCGGCCTTGTGCCTGGCACTGGCCTGCCCACCGCCGGCGCCGTGCCTGGCCTGCATCTGCCCCGCGGCGGCCTGCCTGGAGGTTGACTGCCATTTGCAAGCCGCCTGCCCAGCGGCGGTCGCCTGCCCGGACTGCCACTGCGGCTGACCGACCTCGGCGGTGTGGGCCGCCGTCCTGGCTGCTGCGGCCCTCGCCCTGGGCCTCGCAGCGGCCTGCCGCCTGTGGTGCCACGGCCGCTGGACCAGAGCGGCGGTGGGCGGGGCCTCGTTCGGGGCGCCCGCTGCGGTCCCTGCCTGGCCCGCGGCCCCCGCGGGCTCGCCGGCCCTCGCGCTGGGCGACCGCGACGCTGGTGCTGCTGGCTTGCCTGGCTTCGACGGGCCTGACGTGTGGGTGCCCCGTCGTCGCCGCTGATGGCGGCCGTCCCGCACGCGTTCGACATAGAGCAGCAGCAGATCGCCGAGGCCTTCGACGACGACCCCAACACGTGGCACCTCCGGATCCTCCTCGTGAAGATTGGCGACGATGGCCGCTGGGTGTATGCGACGCCCACGCTGGACGTCCAGGTGCGCAACCTTTCGAACTCGCGCATCGTGCCCCTGGTCCGCGGGCGCCCGATCCCGCAGCGGCCGCGGGGAAACTTTTTCGGCTTCGACCCGCTGGGGGAGGACGAGCTGGCGAGCCTGATGCAGCAGGCCGACGCTTTGGCTGGCATCTTGGGCGGTGTTGCGCCCTCTCCCGCTGCGGCCGCCGCGCTCTGGCACGTCGCCGACCCCGCCGACGAAGACTCTGGCACCGTGATCAAGGTCGCCATCGCCTCGAGCCCTGGCCGCTTCGTCGCGCGGGGGCACTGCGGCCTCGCCCGCATGGGCGACCAGAGGTGGGCGGCGGCGGGGCGGCCCCTGCCGGGCGACCCTGGCGTCTGGAAGGAGGAGAGGCAGACAGGAGCCGGCCGCGACCCGCGCGCCCTCGCGATCAGCCGCGACGCTTCGAGGACGGCCCGGCGCCCCTCGCCGAGCTCCTGGTCAAGAAGGGCCGCGACTGGGCGACGGAGGCCGGGGCCGAGGATTGGCCCTTCCGGGGACCCTCGGCCGCCCTCGAGCTACTGCGCGGGATCTGCTCCACCGGCGAGTCTCTGGAGAGCTGTCACGACGCGTGGGCCATGCAGGTCGTCCAAGGTCAGCGCCGAGGCCGGGGTCGCCACGCACCATCAGAGCCTCATATCAGTGCTCCACCACGCGTTGTGCTTCGACCATGGATCGAGATCTACCGCAGCTCGGCGATGGAGATGCTGGCCTGGCGCGTTCTCTACATCGAGCGCGCCGTCAAGAAGTCGCCCATGGACCCCGACTTCCAGGGCCTCGAGACGATGATCCACAGCCGCTGCCCCTGGCATTCGGCTCGGCGACTTCGCCCGCTTCATCGCGGACGAGCAGAAGACGGAGGCCTTCGCGCTCAAGCGGCAGCGGCTCTACGCGGCCGCAAGAAGGGTGGCAGGGTCAACGATGTAGGGCCAGCGCGGCTCCCCCCTGCGCCGGGCCGGCATCCGGGCAGCGGCGCCGCTGCTGCTCGCGTGGACTGGCGCGGCACTTTCCGCGGGCAGGGCGGATAGTTCCCGCTCCCGCGGCCCAAGTCATCTTTTACTTCGTCCGGCCTAGGGCCGGATCGGGGGCCCGTGGAGGCCGGCGCAGTGGGCGCCTTGCAGCTTGATGCCGCAGCCGCCCTCAACGCCTTGGCAGCCGCCCGCGCCCGTGGGCTGCCCGAGCCGGCGCGGCCCAGCCGCCTTCCCCGCGGCCGAGGGTTGTCTGATGTTCAGCTTTCGACGCGGCGGCGCCTCGCGGACACGGCCGCTGCCGCGGGCCCGAGGCCTCTCGAGCACGACCTCTCCCCCTCCGGTGCCTTGCCGGAACACTTCAAGGCTATAGACTTCTACGACGCGGACGCACCTCTCGCAGTGGCCCCCCACGACCAGGAACGGGTCTCGGTCACTCCCAAACGGCTCAGCCCCAATGGCGCCCGGCTGCTGGCGGGCGCCGACGCCGCCCGCCACCTCGCCGACCCGTCGCTCAGCGCGCTGGGGGCCGACCAGGTGGAAGCGGCGGAGCCCGCGCGCCCTCCTTTGATTTATTGGTCCGAAAGATGCCCGTGCCCGGGGCCAGCCAAGGTGAGATGGGCCGTCCGGGGGACTGGGCGCTTGCTACTGTGCCCGGTCAGCTTGCCCTGCGCGCGCCAGTGCAGCATCCGCGCGTCAAGACGCAACGGCGCGCTCGATGGTTTGGTGTCTGATTGCAGCGACAAGCGTTGGTTTTTGTTAGGGACGTCTCGGGGCATCGCGGTGCGCGCGCGGCTCAAAGCCGCCCATGTGTGGTGGCGCCTGTCCCAATCGATAAAGAGTTGCATGTCCTCGCTATCCTGGCAACCAATGCTTCTGGGCCTGCCCTGCGGAGCGACGTTGCAATGTCGCGCCCCCAGGGGGCCGCAGCGGCCACGTCGGGGGCGGCTCTGGAGGCGTGATGTGTGCTCGAGAGCGTTTTGGGCCTGCCGCCACCTCGGCTGGGTACGGGGACCTGCCTGAAACCACCGAAACATGCCCGGGCCTAGCCGGGGTGGAGCTGCGGCACCCCGGCTAGGTACGTTTTTTTTTGTTTTCATGGGGCAACCGTACCTAGCTGGGGTGATCCGCAGACGGCCGTCCAAAGGGGGCGGCCTCTGGTGACCTCGCCCAGGGCACAGATTCGCGATGTCGCTGCATCGAGCAATTCGCGATAGGGCGGTTGTCGCGCAATGACGTTCGCGCCAGAGTTGTTCGCATGCGCCCCCGAGCGCGCGTTGACTCCTCAACGCCCGGATGTGCGTCCGGGGGCGCGCCTCCGCAGTAGCAGGTCTACATCGACAACAACCAACGCAGGGTCGTGTACTCCGCCGATTCGAACGCACGTGCGATCGGTGCTAACGTGCGCCCCGAGAAGACAGCGGTCTGCAATGCTCGATGGGCTGTCGTTTCTACACTTGCGCAGCCGCCGTCAGCTGCCGCGAGCCGCCCCCCCCGGCCCCTTGCCGCCCTGTCTAGGTCTGGGTACGGGTATCTTCGCGCTCGAGATCCCTGGGACCGGCGCCTCGCTTCGAACCCTCGACTCCTCCGCGAGTTCGCGCAGAAGCTCGCAGACCGCGGCCTCGTCTGCCACAGAAAGAGGGTGGCCGCCCGCTGCGGGATGTTCTCCGTCAAGAAGTCGGGGCAGCTTCGCCTCGCCCTCGATGCGAGCGAGGCCGGCGAACGCCGTCCACCGCCAGGCGCCCCGCGCCAAGTTGGCCACCGCCAGGGCGGACGGCTCGCTCGCCCACGACCCGGGCCGCGCGGCCGCAGCTGGCCTGGACGCCCCTGGCGCCTGGGGCGCTGCTTCGATCTCCGCGCCCCCGGAGGCGCGCGGCCCCGAGGAGATGCGGGGGGGCTCGATCGACCTGCAGGACGGCTTCTGCCAGTTCCTGGCGCCGGCCGGCGGCCCCCCACTACTTCGGGCTCGGGCCCAGGGGCGCGGCGGGCGCGCTCGGCCCGGAGACGATCCTCGACCCGGACCTTGGGCGCGACGTCGCCGTGGCCGAGGACGCCATCGTCGAGGCGTGCTTCGCCGGCCCCCCCACGGGCTGGAGCTGGGCGCTGTTTTTCTGCCGCGGCGCAGTGGCCGAGGCTTGTTTCCGCGCGCAGCGCTCGCTCGGGCTCTCCGAGCGCCTCTTGGGGGGCAGGGGGCCGACGCTGGCCGCAGGCTTTGCGGTCTGCGCCCCCTACGTGGACAACGCCAACGACATCGCGCGCCTCCTGTCCGCGGCGGTCCGCGAGCTCGAGTCGAGCCCTGCCTGGACTTCGAGACGCTCGGCTTGCACTTCGACGGCCGTCGCCCCCGGGTTCGCCCTGCGGCCCGGCGCTCGTGGAGACTCTGGCACGGGCTCGGCGCGCTGCTCCAGGTGAAAGCCATCTCGCCGGACCACATGCACCAGCTCCTGGGGCATCTGTGCCGCCAATTCTGCCTGCGGCGGCGCCTCCTCTCGGTGCTCGGCGAGCGCCACCGCTTCGCCGGGGAATGGGTTTCCGCCGCGCGCCCGCTGCCGGAGGGGGCCCTCGCCGAGCTGGCCGTCGCCCGCGGTCTCTGCCACTTCGCGCGCGTCGACATATGCTCGGCCGGGCCTGCTGCAGCGACGCTTTCACCGAGGGCTACGCTTCCACTGCGCCAGCGCGGACCCTGCGAGCCTCTGGCC